TTCTTCAGAACTAAGCCCGAAACGTCAGCTTTCCTGCTCCTCTGATGCTGCTTGGCCTGCTGTGTTCATCCAGCTCTACGCCATTCTAAATGCTGTTGAGAGATTTGGAAGCTCTGTTTCAGAATTAAGCTCATCTATCTAATTTCTGAGGCAAACAGTATATTTTACATCAGTATGCGCTGGGATTTATATTTAATGTATTTCGAAGACGAGAAAAATTACAAGGACCACCACTTTTAAGAACTCTTAAGTGGTAAGTATAACCATTTCCCCTAAAGTATGACTTGCTAACTAACCTGAATTTCTGTCTCTTGGGGAACTGGTTACTAAGAGGTCATTTCAACCTTATCTTACCAACCTCTGTAGTTTATATGTTCTTGTGTAAAATTACAGCAGATCAAATGTCAATTAAACCTGACACGCTTGGAATATTAAGAATCCTCAGGAAAGACTAGAATTTTTGAACAGACATGCCTCTGTGCACTTTAAATACATTCCTAACCAGATATTTTAAAAATTCAATTAAGAGCCTCACTTTTATCTAGCAAGTGACGATTTCAAGTAATTTCCAAATTCTTCCATGCAATTAAAGTCTTTTTGGAATATTACATTAGATGTTATTCCATTCATCAGCTGCTAAATATGAGTGTTCTGCTGGAGAAAGAATTTTTCCAACCATCAGCTTCCTTCAAAAGCTTTATTAGCTTTGTTGTTCTGCTGCACTCTTTGAATTGTCATTTAATTGCCTAATTTCATTCTTTTGAACTGCAACAGATTTGAGGCTGGGTAAACAAATTGCATAGTATGTCCCTGCACTACATGTGTCAACGAACAGCTGGTGATGTAATTGTCATATTTTCCCTTATCCATTTACCCTCTACATAAGACGCAAGATCAAAAGTAGGCCATTCAACCCATCAAGTCTGTTCTGCCATTCAATGAAATCTTGGCCGACTTGATAAATCTCAATCCCACTTTCCTGCCTTTTCCCCATAAACCTTGATTCCCTTAATGATTAGAATTCTATATATCTCAGCCTTGCCTTGAAATCCGTCTGCGATTAAAATTTCAGAGATTTGGAACCCTCTGAGGAAAGAATGTCCTGCTTATCTTGGACTTAAGAATGTGACCCCTTTTTCTCAAATTATGCACTCTGGTCCTAGAGTTCCCAATAAGGGGGGAACAACCTTTCTACACCTACCCTGTCAAGTTTCCTAAGAATTTTATATGTTTTACTAACACCGCCTCTTATTCTTCTACAGTCCAATGAGTAAACATGCAATCTAATCAATCTCTCCTCATAGACACTCCAGCAATGCCTACTATCAGTTTACGCTGGTTTGTCTCTAATGCCAAAATACCTTTCCTTAGATAAGGGGTCCAAACTGTTCATTTTATTCCAGCTGTGGTCTGATTAGAATGGAATTAAGTCAAAGTTTACCTCTTTTCCTGCAGTTAAATTCTCATGTCTATCTCTTTTACCAATGAGAGATTCAGAATCAATGACAACCAAATTAAAATCCTGTTTTACCCTGTTCCAATAACAAATTTCATTTTAAAAAAAATACCTCAAATGTTTCAACCAGAATCGTCCTTGTGACAAATGGCCGGAGTGGTATTGGAAACTTGACTGACTCCATACTCTGAAAATTCTCTCGGAACTTCTCCATATTCTTTGCCTCGTATCGCAAGTCAATCTGTCAGATAATGCCAGGAAAGAGTGTTTAATTTAGACAATTCTGTCTGAGCTGAGCAATAGAAGGAAGGACTCAGGGCATGGTTGGGAACATGGGACTGGGATATCATAGCAATTACAGAGACATGGCTCAGGGATGGGCAGGACTGGCAGCTTAATGTTCCAGAATATAGATGCTATAGGAAGGATCAAAAGGAGGGAAGACAGGAGGGAGAGTGGCGTTTTTGATTGGGGATAATATTATGGCTGTACTTAGGGAAGATATTCCAGGGAAGTTATTTGGTTGAAACTGAGAAATAAGAAAGGGATGATCACCTTATTGGGATTGTACTATAGGCCCCTCAATAGTCTGCGGGAAATTGACAAACAAATTTGTAAGGAGGTCTCAGTTATCTGTAAGAATAATAGGGTGGTTATGGTAGTGCTAAGGGCTTGAATGGAGAGGCATTTGTTAAGTGTTTACTGGAAAATTTTCTGATTCAGTATGTGGATGTACCTACTAGAGAAGTTGCAAAACTTGACCTACTCTTGGGAACTAAGGCAGGACAGGTGACTGAGGTGTCAGCAGGGGAGCACTTTGGGGCCAGTGACCATTATTCTACTGTAATAGTGATTGTAAAGGATAGACCAGATCTCAAAGTTAAAGTTCTAAATTGGAGGAAGGCCAATTTTGATGGTATCAGGAAAGAACGTTCAAAAGTTGATTGGGGCAGATGTTTCCAGGTAAAGGGATAGCTGGAAAATGGGAAGTCTTCAAAAATGACATAATGAGAATCCAGGGATAGTGTGTTCCTGTTAGGGTGAAGGGCAAGGATGGTAGGTGTAGGAAATGCTGGATGACTAGAGAAATTAAGGTTTTAGTCAAGAAAAAGAAGGAAGCATATGTAATGCTAGAGACAGCAGATATTGAGTAAATCCCTAGAGAAGTATAAAGGAAGTAGGAGTATACTTAAGAGCGAAATCAGGAGGGCAAAAAGGACACATGAGATAGCTTTGGCAAATAGGGTTAAGGAGAATCCAAAGGGGTTCTACAAATACATTAAGGACAAAAGGGTAACTGGGGGAGAGAATTCAGCCCCTTAAAAATCAGCAAGGCTGTCCACACGTGGAACCCCAGAAGATGGGGGAGATACTAAACAAGTATTTTGCATCAGTGTTTCCTGAGGAGAAGGTTAAGGAAGATAGAGAATGTGGGAAAATAAATAGTGGCATTTTAAAAAATGTCCATATTACAGAAGAGGAGGTGCCTTAAAACACATAATGGTGGATAAATCCCTGGGACCTGATCAGGGGTACCCTAGAACTCTATGAGAAGCTAGGGAAGTGATTGCTGGGGCCCTTGCTAAGAAATTTGTATCATCGATAGCCACAGGTGAGGTGTTGGAGGACTGGAAGTTGGCTAACGTGGTACCATTATTTTAAAAAATTATTTAAAGCCAGGGAATTATAGACAAGTGAGCCCGACATTGGTGGTGGGCAAGTTGTTGGAGGGAATGCTGAGGGACAGAATTTACATGTATTTGGAAAGGCAAAGATTGATTTGGGATAGTCAACATGTTCTTGTGAGTGGGAAATCATGTCTCACAAACTTGATTAAGTTTTTTGAAGAAGTAACGAAGAGGATCGATGAGAACATAGCAGTGGACATGATTTCTATGGACTTCAGTAAGGCGTTCAACAAGGTTCCTCATGGTATACTGGTTCACAAGGTTTTATCACATGGAATATAGGGAGAACTAAGCGTGTAGATACAGAACTGACTCGAAAGTAGAAGACAAAGGGCGGTGGTGGAGGGTTGCTTTTCAGATTGGAAGCCTGTGACCACCGGTGTGGCACAAGGATCGGCTGCTTTTCGTCATCTATGTAAATGATTTGGATGTGAACATAGGAGGTATGGTTAGTAAGTTTGCAGATGACACCAAAATTGAAGGAGTAGTGGAGACCAAAGAAGGTTACCTCAGAATACAACGGGATTTTGATCAAATAGGCCAAAGGGCCGTTGAGTGGTAGATGGAGTTCAATTTAGCTCCATATGAGGTGCTGCATTTTGGAAAGGCAATTCAGAGCAGAACTTATACATTTAATGGTAAGCTCCTGGGGAGTGTTGCTGAACAAAGAGCCCTTGGAGTACAAGTTCATAGTTACTTGAAAGTGGAATCGCAGGTAGACAGGATAGCGAAGGTGGTGTTTGGTATGCTTGCTTTATTCGTCAGTGCATTGAGTCTAGTAGTTAGAAGGTCATTTTGCAGCTGTACAGGACATTGTTAGGCCACTTTTGGAATGCTGCATGCAATTCTGGTCTTCCTACTGTAGGAAGAATGTTGTGAAACTTGAATGGGTTCAGAAAAGATTTACAAGAATGTTGCCAGGGTTGGAGGGTTTGAGCTACAGGGAGGGGCAGAATAGGCTGGGACTATTTTCCTTGGAGCGTCAGAGGCTGAGGGGTGACCTTATGGAGGTTTATAAAATCATGACGGGCATAGATAGGGTGAATAGACAAGGTCTTTTCCCCAGAGTGAGGGAGCCCAAAGAGGGCATAGATTTAAGGGAGAAGGGAAAGGTTTAAAAGGGACCTAAGGGGCAACATTTTCACGCAAAAGATGGTGCGTGTATGGAATGAGCTGCCAAAGGAAGTGGTGTAGGTTGGTACAATTACAACATTTAAAAGGCATCTGGACAGGTATATAAATAGGAAGGGTTTAGAGGGCTATGGCCAAATGCTGGCAAATGGTACTAGGTTAATTTAGGAAATCTGATCGGCATGGATGAGTTGGACCTAAGGGTCTGTGTCCATGCTGTACAGCTCTAGTACTCTAACTATTAATTTTCACAATCTGATATAACACTGACTTGTAATAATTTTAGTCGCATTGACTTTAAAAAATGTAGCATGACATACATATGTCTTTTACTAAAAAGATTTCTGAAGGGCACTTGAGTTGCAAAGAGCACCCCATCCAATTAACTCACTCTCCTGCATCCTCACTCACGGAGATACCTGTCCAATCTTTCAGAAAGATCATGGTCAGAAGCAGACTCAGTTAATTTGTGCCCTCACCAGTCGTGTCATGAGCTCTTCAAATTCTCCTATTAATTCAGTCAACCTCAGCCACTTCAGACCTGGCAGGAGATTGAGAACCCAGCTTGCTGCTTTCATCAGCATCAGATCCACATTGACGCGATGGGCTATCCCAGGATGCATCACCTACAAACAAAAACAGTCAATGTGAACCTTCATAAACTGTCTCACTTTGCAGTCACATAATACAAGCAATCCAAATGGGATGGCATCAAAATCATCTCTTTCTGTTAACTATAAATTATCTCAAGAAAAAACAATTTGGAGAACTCAGCCAAGATTGCAGAAATACTTAAAATGTAGTCTTAACTGACACCGACATACAGGCAGACTCAAAGATGGCCGTTGTAGGAAATGAAAAGGTCATGCTGGTTTACTTTATTGACAGTGGCAATTAGAGCATATTGATCTTACAAATAGGAGGGCAGGTGCCCAGCTGCTATCCTAATCTGAGATCCACTTGTGAAATAAGTGAAGAATTTTGTTTTATAACAACTTGAGCACTGCTGAAAAAACTCTCGGAAATGCTGTTGAAGCTTTTCATCTTGCAGTCATTGGACAGAATCACAAGAATACTATATCTGAAAGGGAACAACAATTTTTATTGAATGAAGGGAGGGTGCTGATTGGCTGGCAAGTGGACTCTGATCAGTAGAAGCATTGTCGTGAAGAATGCACCATGGATAAATTAAATGCCAAGCTCATTTAAATTCAAATTAGGCAAGTTGTTGCTGACTGGTCAAGATATTAGGTTGGGTAATACACCAGGAAATGGCCGTCTCCAAAGCTTTTGTATAGTTGAAAAATAAACAAAATGGGTGGTCATGTTCTTTCCATTTGCAAAGGACAGGGCTGTGTGTATGAATATAAGCAGCTTCTAGCATGCATAAATAAAGCACACTGTGAACCTGACAGTTGATTATAAAATTGGTTGTAAAGTAATTGTTAACACAATTGGGATTGTTTTAGCCATTGATGTCCAATTGTAGAATCATTTCTAGTGTTGGATACGACGTTCCAACGTTCAAAATACATGGGGACAGTGGTCAAATTCACTCTGAAAGCACCCAAAACACCCAGAGGAAAACAGAATCAATCATGTAGTTGACCGATTCCTATAAGTAGGCCAGACTGTATGAGGAGTTGCTTTTCCAATCCGAGATCCTGTCTCTCTCATGGTCCTCCCATCACAGGTTCCCTCTTTCTTAATCTTGCTGCTTCTCAAGATACAGAATCTATAATTAGAGAAACAGCAAGGTAGGGAAACTTGTGTTTAGAGGAGCTAGTCTGACCATTGACCCACCGCATGTAGGAAACTTTGACAAAGGGTGAGTTGGCCCAGGGGAGTGGTCATTCACCTTTCTCGAAGGAAGCATATGCCCATTAGGGCTAGCCCCAAATTTCACTCCTGATTGGAGTGGCACGTTGATGGGCCTGAGTTTGAGCCAATCAGGGGCAGGGATGCTGAGCCAAAATATCAACCAGACTAGAGAGTTATTGAGCTGCTGGCCAGGTCAGCATCCTTCTTGCTAATGCTACTTTAGGGTTGACTTCTGTTTTGGCAAGCAAACATTGGTGAGCTTGAAGATTTCTGCATGTTCAATGCACACGTCTATAATTGCATTTACCTTCTATAACCATCTTCATATCAGCAATGGACCTCCTTCAGTCACATTTCTTTTGAGTTGTAACTTAAAATTTGAGAATCTTAATTTTGAACTTTATCACTTCTGTAATTATTTTTGACACACTACGTAACATTCTGTGCAGGGCCTGTGTTTCGAGTGACAGAAGGTGGGGCAGAATAGCTGCAACTCTGCTGAGTGGGTCGGGAAAGAGGAGCATATCTGTGTGTTGGGAGATTCAATTCAAAAGAAATTAACATCAACATCTTATCTTGTTTAAAGATTCCAAGTTAAACTACTTTGTATACATGAATACAATATTTAATAACTATCCTTTCATGACTAAAGAACAAAGACCCAGAACAACACACACATAAGGCAATGTTACTTTGTGACTGCAGTATAAAAGGAGAGTGGGAATGAAAAAGGAGCAACTGAAAACCAAAAGATAGCCCCAAAAATCAAAAGTAGCTCACGATAAAAATCACACAAGGAGCCCTTGGAAAACAAATATTTGGACCACTGCCAAGTTCTGAGTTTTGCAAGAATGGAATGGTTGAGTACTGTCAATGCTCTACCAGTAGCAAACAGCCAAAGGAGCACGCTAATTGATATAATCCACCAGTCATTGGAACATATGGCCCACATAACTGATATCACACTGTCACTGAAATTTATATACCATATCACTTATGTGTGTAGTAGGCAGAAAGTTTTATATTTGTTTTGATGGAAGCTCTTGTTGCAGAGAATACCAGAAATGTTGAAACTATTTAGCAGCAGCATGAAACACTTTGTTGCCTCAATTTTTCCAGGATAATCTGAAATAGACTACATACTTTTCAGGACCAAAAGTGGTTGCTTCAAGCACATGGAGTGGAACCACTCAAAATGTTAATGAGAAATGGATCTTCAATGGAATGACTCCTAACCTCTTACAACGTGCTTATTTCCAATATATAGGGGATATGTTTGCTCTATCCGAATCTGCAGCTGCACATAAGAGTTTCTTCACATGTCTTAATGGACTCCATCCTGTGCTGACATTCGCCTTTGAAATGCATCTTTCCTCAATGTGCTACTTGAGAAATCCACTAATGACCTCTCTACACTATCCATCACAAATCCACCTTCACTGGGTTGGGATTTCTATGGTCCCACATGCAATTGCCAATAAGATCAACCTTATAGCATAAATAGAGCCCAAACCATTTGCTCACCAAGTAAGCTTGATGCTGAAATAGGATACAGTGAAGTTATCTTGTGGGATAGCAGCTACCCTAAACAGCTCACTGCTGACTAGATGTTGCATAAACTCATGCATGGGCCTAAAGCTACTACCTTTGGTCCCAAGAATTATCTAGTTTATTTCAGATAACCCTGGAAGGCTAAATTGTCCCAATACTTTGAACAGGTGAAGCTAGCTATTTCACAATACTGTTATGCAACAGTAACATGACTGATATCCTCCATTAACACAATGCTGCCATCAAGCCAAAAAGATGTTCTACCTACTATACAATGTGGTATACGAATTCCAGTGAATCTCGGTGAATGTGATGCCAAGAAAATGGGCCATATGTTCTAATGACTGGTGGGTCACATCAGACAGCATGTCCCTTTGGGTGTCAATAGTGCAATGACCATACTCAAACTCAACCTGTGCTTGCTCAAAACATAGGGGTCAACATTTAATGGGAGTATCTGACTAGACAGCATTCATTAAACAATTCTGATTGTACTAAGGATTACAGTAACAACCACTTTAAGATTAATAGTTGAGTTTGCAGTCTAGCTCACTTACGCTTGCTAGAAGCTACATATACTTATGTGCAGGGCCGTGTCCTTTGCAAACAGAGAGAACATGTCCATGAACTGCACAATTTCCAACTAAATAAAAGAGTGGGGACAGCCATTCTCTGGTACATTCCCTATGCCTTGACCAAGGTTTATTTGCCTGACTTGAATTTAAACAAAAGCTTGGAAGTTTAAGTGTTCCCTGGTGCATTGTTCATGGCAATGTCTCTACCAGTCACAGTACACAAGCCAACTCTCTTCTCATGCAGTACGAATTATTGTTTCTTTTGATATTTGGCATTCTTGCAATGCTGACCCAATGAATACAAGTTGAAAAGCTGGACAGTGTGTCACCTTTTTTTCAGCAATAGTCAGGATTTGTATTACCAAGTGGTCAATTATATCTAATTATCTTGATACAGACATTATGTGCAAAAACGCAAAAGCTATTCTTTCCATGAACTTCCTTCTACTCCATTGCAAAATGAAAACATATAAATATCTAGGCTTAGAACTCTTTCCATCCGCACCAGCTTACAACATATAGCTGCACATACACACAATAATAGTCTAACTTTCATGTTTATTTTTTAAGCACTAGAAATGGCTTGTACAGGAGAAAACCTAAACTTCAAAAGGTTATTTTTTTATCTGTAGAACTGTAATACCTTGATAACCACTGGAATGCGTGTTCCTGGTTCAGGGTGATGGTCTGCCTTTCTATCCTCCAGTTCTGGTATTCCAGTGGATTCCTCAGCAGTTTCAGACCCATTTTTTGGGTTATTACAGTCAACTTTGTTGGTCTGATCTTGAAAATCATTCTGTTTTTTACCAAACATATAATGAAATATGCCTTGAAGCCCAAATACCTCCCAGGCTTCAAAGTGATCCTCTTTTTCAAAACTTTCCACAAGTTTCTGAAATTCAGAGTTATTAATGTTCCTTGGATCAGTGTAAGCTCTATAGACCTGAGCAATGCAGCCTGATCTGATGGGTTTCTTATTTTCAATCTGAAATATATTCCTCCAGCCCTCTCCAAAGGCCCTTTTCAGACGATACTCTGTGTATTTCCAAGGATGTGGTGTAACATGGACATGAAGTCTGGAGAGCTTATCACAGAACTCTGCTGAAAAGAGATCCCTTCTGGTGCTGAACCACTGGCCAAGTTTTATGTAAGTAGGACCTGCAGCTTCAATGGATCTCAAGAGCAAATTACACCAGAAAACAGCAAAACTGGAAGATGCAAGACAAACTGGATACAGCAGCAACAAAGGTCCAAACCTCAATAGCAGAAGCATAGCTCGAACAACCACTTGGACAGTTAAACGAAGCTTCCAGAATAGATCTTTCAAAAATGAGTGTTTAGACTTTGAATTTGGCCAATGTAACACTTTTGCTTCCATAGTGACCATCCTCTGGGAATTTGCAACTGATGAAGCTCCAAGACCTAGATAAGCAAGAGTAAGTTTGGGAAAATTCTTCAACCTGAAAGATGCTTTCAAAGCAGGACTGCCCGATATCAAGACAGTGATATTCAACATAGATTTGAACATTGCTGGACGTATCCTGCAACTGAAGGAAAAGACAGCCATCATAGCGGAGGGATATAGAAACCAGACAAGATTTGTAGATGCTGAGCCTGGGTATTCAAGAAGTACTATTCTTTACCTTTATCTTCCATGTGGTCCAATGCAGATCTGCAAAATTGTTATTTTATCTTGCAGTTCGGTAACATTTAAAACTGCAGTCTCAACGTCACAGCAGCCAGTCTCTTCATTGGCAGGAGATAATGCAGCAGACGATGAACGCCTCAGTGGCCTCTTCTGTGATATTTCATCCGCTTGAATTAAGCAGTAACGAAGCACAGCTAACGATTCTGTGTTACCAGCAACTTGTTTCTTATTGTGTGCAGCCTCCTCCTTCTTTCTCTGATTCTTCCACACTGTTATCTATATCAGGAACTCCTTCCTGGCTGGCTCTACACATCCTCCATCACTGACAGATCTCTCCTCTCTCTCTCAGCGACCAACAGACAAAAAAAGCCTTCCCCCTCAAGACGGAAACACTGCGCACGTGTGCTCTGCCGGCTCACCTCATTTTCTCCTTCTATTGGTGCTGCCGGTCAGAACCGCGCCTCCTCCATCCTTCTATTGGTCATTGTCTGCTTACCCGCCTCTCCCCTCCTACCATTGGACAGCCTCCGGGTCCTGCCCATTCCATTGGTCAATGTTTGCAGGTCTCTCCCTCTCCTTCCTCCCAATGGTATGTTCACTCGCACCTCCGCTTGTTCTCTTCCATCATTCCCCGCCTTCTCTCTCATCCTATTGGGTGTTGTGTCCAGGCCCCGCCTCCCAGCCCTTCTATTGGTCAGGGTTTCTAGGCTCCGCCCTGGTCTCCCCGGAAACCGCCCTCTGTCTCTGGTGGTCCGTTCTCTCAGATCCAGCAGCGGCCGTGCTTTCGCTCCTGTGTGTTTTAGTGGGGGACACAGCACAGGACAGGCCGGGTCAGGCTGGGGGTTAGCGGATTGTGTGTCCAGAACAGGATCAGCTCGTCTCCCACGCAGTGCATTCTCTGCTCAGGTACCAGCGGGCAGTCTTTCCTCTCACTAATAGAGTTAGTGAGGGTTTGTAAACACAGCTCAGAATTGTGTGAGAATAACAAGGCGATCTCTTCAGTAAAGTCCTGCCCGTTTCTGGGTCTGTGGGATCGGGGGAAAGGGTTTTACTGATTTGTTTTGAATGGGAAGAGACTCGTCTTCTTTGTAATTTTCAAACTAAGAGCGGGAAGGGAACAGCTGGTGTATCGAGACGATGAAGAGTTTGCTTTGTTTAACTGACAGCACTTGGTGTGGTTAAAGAAACAGGTGGTGGCTGAGATACAGTGACAAGAATAAGGCAAAATCATCTGAGAGTTTGGCTCCACTGACCCCAAAAGAGGACTTCAGTGATCAACATTTAAAAAGATACAGCTTGAGAAATGTTTCCGCACTTCCTGGTGCTTTAAGAAAAACCGGTTGCATTAGATCTCATCTAAGTTGAAATAAATGTTTTTAAATTTCCTACGTTATAATGACAGCTACGATTTAAAAGTACTTCTTTGACTGTAAAGATCTTTGAGCTTGAGAAATGTGCTTCAGAAAGTGCAAGGCTCCTTTTAAACTAATAAACTCCCAGTCCTTAGAAATCAAATGCGAGCGCAATATTTGGGTCCATCAACATTAGAGAGCATTAGATATGTGGATCAGGGAGAGAATTGACGAGGAGCGTCTCTCATTCCTTTCTTCCCTCCTGTTTCCCACTCGCCACTCACTTTCTTAGGTTTCGTTGATACTTCAGCCGGGTATATATTGTGTTCCTTTACAATGAGGTAACTAGAAAATCATCACCCAACCAGATCAGGCAACCCTTAGATTTGGAGTCAAAACGTGGGCCCAACATCTGTCGCTGGTTTTAGAATTCCATCTACTTGAATGAACCTAGGAACATTTGCATTTCAACACATTATACATTTGTTCCAAATTCTAGACGGCTTATGTCAGTGCAAAGCAACAAAGTCACAGCAAATGTATATATGATTCCTTATCACAAAACAATTTTCAAACCCTTTCTTTTTGACTATTGGCAGCATATACTACATGATGTGATTTGTACTTATTTGCCCTGAGAATAGAACAATTCTGGTTTCATCCCAGGGTACCTTTCAAACTAGACAACTCTGCATGGCCACCCTGAACCTGCTGTACATTGGAGAAGGCTTTTAGTATGAGATGTTATATCAGACAACCCCTTGAACTCTTGCTGTTGGAGGTCAGTCTATTGGAAGTATCTAGTGAATAGATAATCTCAGCTAAAGCTTCCAAATGTCACAATTCCTTTAATAGTTTCAGTAAACAGTAAAGTTACCATAGCCCCAGAGAACCATTAAAGAGAAACAATTGGTAGTGAGTTTAACCTGAGAACCACCAAACCTTAGGTGAGGGAGGGACAAGTTTGAGAAAACAGGACCTTCATGGTAACTTCAGTCAGTACAGGAATTGAATGCACACTGTTGGTTTCACTGCATCACAAACCAGCTGTCCTGCCAACTGAGCTAAACTATTACTCCTCTGTGGTCAGATGATTAATGCTAAGTTCTCCCAGACAGTGCTGTTAAAATGTATAGGATTGTATTCATCCTGTGTGTGACCTGTGACTCCAACTTGATGGGTTCTTTAAGCGCCAAACTGTGTGGTTGCCAAATCACTTGGTTGCTTTGTGAAATTGAACTTCTTGTCTATTGCAGTTTCTATAAAGCATCTCTTGTTCATAAATTATGCAGTTCACACACCATTGTTGTCACCACAGTCAGACAGCAAACGTTGTGTGCAGGCCTCTGACAAACTGAGCAGGGGATGGTTTTCTGCTGGTCCATGTGTCACTCCCTTTTCTTTCTATGCCTCTGTTTGACACCTCGATGGGTTTGTGACTACCCTACCTGGTTTTGCAAGTCACAGTGTGCCAACTGAGGACCCCCATATACCAAGTCTGTTTCCAAGTACACCAGACTTTACATTCTGTTATTCACCGATATTCATTCATGACATTGTGAAGACATAAGAATCTCTTTATCCAGCAGGCCAGTATAGCGAGTTAACCTGTCTGAATATCCCCTCCTTGCATCCCCAGCTGTTATAAGGCATTTGTTCTTCAAATAAGTTATCACCATTTATGATGTCAAATATTATCGACAGATCATATGATGTAGGAGCAGAAGTAGGCCATTCAGCTCACTGTGCTGTGCCATTCAATGAGATGATGTGTGATTTCAATTCTCAACTCTACTTTCCCGCCTTTTCCCCCATAACCATTGATTTCCTTCCTGATTAAACATCTCTCTATCTCAGTCTTCAATATATTTAACAACCCTCTGCAGTAAAGAATTCCACACATTCACTACCATTTAAGAGAAGAAATTGCCCCTTACTTCTGCCTTATATGAATGACTCCTTATTTTGAGATTAGCTCTTCTAGTGCTATCCTCTCCTATAATAGGAAACAACACCTACCCTTTAAGAATCTTATGTGTTTCAATCAGAGGTCACTTCTTATTCTTCTAAACTCCAATTACTACAGGCCTAACCTACTCAACCTCTCCTCATAAGACTGTTCCTCCATACCTGGAATCAACCCAGTCAATTTTCTTTGGAGTGCTTCCAATGCCAGTATAGCTCTCTTTACATAAAGGGGACTGAAACTGGACACAGTTTTCAGCTGTAGTCTAATTAGTGGCTACAGCCTTTCTGCATTTAAATAATATTCAGCTCCTCTATTTTTATTACCAAAGTGCAGAACATCTCATTTTTCCACATTATATTCCATCTGCCAGCTTTGATGTCTTGACCACCTATTTCTGTGTTGTTCGCATACTTGGCTATAGTACATTCACTTTCCTCATCCAAATTATTGATATGTATTGTAAATGAGTGTGGCGTCAGCACTGATCCCTGTGGCTCTTTATTCATTACAGGTTGCCATTCTTAAAATGCCCCCCTTCCCCAACTCTCTGTCTTCTACTAGTTATCCAATCTCTATCCATGTCGATACATTTATTTCAACACCATAGGCTATTATTAAGTGGCATAAAATGCAGTACCTTATCAAACCCTTTCTTGAAACCTTAAATTATTACAACCACTGCTTTCCCATTATCTATCCTGCTCGATACCTCCTCAAAGTATTCTAATAAATTTCTCTGATTGGCTTCACAGAGGAAAGCCTTGCTGATTTGCTAGATTATGCTATGTAATTGTAAATGCGAGACCATTACATGCTTTACAATAGACCCTAATATTTTTCCCGACAATAAATGTTAAGCTAACTGGAGTACCGTTACTTGTTTTCTGTTAATTTCCCTTTTTGAATGAAGGTGTTACATTGACAGTAAACTGTACTGAGTTTATTTACTTAATTTAAGTATATTTAATTTTCTTAGGATTCATTGCATCAGGTCCAAATGACTTGTAGGTCTTTAACCCCATTAGTTTCCCCACTACTTTTTCCCTAGCAGTAGTTACCATATTTGTTTCCTCTCACCTTTTTGCCCCTTGATTATTTGGTCATTTTAGAATGTTATTAGTATCTTTTACTGTGAAGATTGATGCAATGTACTTAATCAACTCTTCTTCCATTTCCTATTTCTCCACTGTTTCTCCCCAGCCTCATTCTCAAAGGGGTCTATCTTTCTTTATATATATTTAAAGAAGTTCTTGCTGTCAATCCTGGTATTATTTGCAAGTTTACCCTCAAAGTTTATTTTCTTGCTTTTTTTTGCTCGTCTTTTATTAGTTTTTAAAACTTTCCCGATCCTCGAGTTTAGCAATGATCTTTGTCACATTGTATGTTTTTTTCTTTCACTTTGATGCTATCCTTAACTTCATACATAGTTGGCCTATCCTCTTCCTAGAATCCTCTTTCTAACATTGAACCATGAACTATTTTCTTAAACATTTGTTTGTCAGCATCTTTACTGCTAAACTCCTTTCCCAGTCCAAAACAGTCAGCTCTGCCTCATTACTTTTTAATTACGTTTCTTCAAGGTTAGTATCATTGTTACTGACCCAAGTTTCTCCCTCTCAAATTGAATGCTAAATTCTACCATATTGTGATAACTGTTTCCTAGGGAATCTTTTACTCTGAGATCATTTATTAAATTTGTCTCATTACACATCACCAAATCTAAGACAGCCTGATACCTGGTAGAATCCACATCATGTTGCTCAAGGAAACTGTCCAGAATACATGTTATGAATTCTTCCTCGTGGTTACCTATGCCAAATGCCTTTCCCAATCTTCATGAAGATTAAATCCACCTGATTAATATACTTACTTGGTTACATGCCCTCAATATCTCCTGATTTATTCTCAGTCCCACTATAAAGCTAGTGTTAGTGGGTCTATGGACGGCTCCAACATTGGCCTTCCATGCCTTGTTATTTCCTACCTCCACCCATAATAATCCAAGATCATTTCATGCTATCATACTTATTCCATCCCATACTAACATTGTTACTCCATCACACTTTACTTCTTG